TCTTCTTCTTCTTCTTCTTCTTCTTCTTCTTCTTCTTCTTCTTCTTCCTCCTCCTCCTCCTCCTCCTCCTCCTCCTCCTCCTCCTCCTTCTTTTAAAATCACATCCAGTACATTAGCAAAACGAGATTCCACATGAAAAGATGCTTAGCATTCCAGGGGGTTCAACTCAAAACAAAGAAGCAGAAGAAAACAGCCGGATCTCCTTCGTTTTCTCTCTTTCAACTGTGCTGCCTCCGGACCAGTGAAGACTGAAAGATCAGTAGGGTTTCTGCATCTGACTCTTTCATGCCAGGCATAGCAATGCAGGGATGGCCCCACCAGCATCTAATCCAGTGGAGACAAACCAACCACAGACAAGAAGGGGGCAAAGATCCTTCCCGGGGTCTCTCATCCTGCTTCTCCTCCAAATCTCAGAGACTCGTTGGCTTTTATAGTTTCCAACCCTGGCACTGTTAACACATGAACACCAAATGCTCCCAGCTGAACAGCAGCTGTAGTTTTTAATGGAGCATTATAGCGGAAATTGCTGTGTATCCCATTTTTTCTGTCCTCTTTTTCCTCCGGTCCTGCAAGCCAGTATTTCTAACTAATAAAATTATTCTGGAAGGATACACATGCTTGGAAAAATCAGTCATATCAATGATTACACTACAGCTAACTTTGCAATTTTTAAATTCAATTACTGCAGCATAGCTGCATGGTTAATGAGAGGAAAGAAGAAGATGGTACTCCTCTAACATGTCTGTAAAAAGGTTAAACTATTCCTAGTTGCAATACTACTGTCTTTCAAACCTATTTCAAATGTGTGCATTTTAGATTCCTGCACACCTTCCTGCGATGCTCGATAATACTAGAAAAATTGTCCACATGGCCAAAAGGGAAGATGCTGCTCATTCCCACATTAACCAAGCACTTGCCAGTAAATACACTCCATGCGGTCCATTTCCTCTGAAGGGACAGTTAGTGTGAATGGGTCTTCAATAAGTCAAGACCTTCTCGCTTGAAATTTTTCTGGCACAGGTATGTGGCCTTGTAGCAGCAACGATGGCTCTTAATATTATTTGAGTCGTCTCTCAGAAACCAAGGAAGCAACCTGCCAAGGGAATGTTTGGCTCACTTGGGAGGGCATGGAAATGACAAGCTCAGAAGGATATTAAGGGAAGCATCTTCCAAGGGCTCTGTGCCAAAAATGACAGGTGATACCTTGGATTGCACCATCACAGGGAGAATTGCCGTTTCCATTTCAACCATCTTGGGTAAGAGCCAGTGGTGGGATTCAAAAACTTTTACTCCCGGTTCTGTGGGCGTGGCTTGGTGGGCGTGGCCATGTGATTGGGTGGGCGTGGCTTTTTTTGCAGCCCCCACCCATTTTGGGGAGCTTCCTCGCCACGGTGGAGCCTCGGGGGTGGGGGGGGGTTGGTTTTGCTCCCCTAAAGCTCCTCTAAGCCTCTGGAAGAAAAGGAACAGAGCATGGGAAAGGCTCACAGCACCCCTCCAAGCTCTGTTTTGGGAGCTTCCTAGCCTCAGAAGAGCCTCGGGGGGGAGGGGCGGCGTTTTTGCTCCCCTAAGGCTCCTCTGAGGCTCTGGGAGGCAAAAAATAAAGGGGGGGGCTGAGCTCCTCCCTCCATTTTTTGCCTTCCTGGGCCTCAGCAAGGGGAATCCTGGCACAGCTGATCTTTTCTACAGCTGATTGTCGGGAGGGAAATGTCAGGCAGGTGGGCGGGGTGAGCAAGCATTGGGCGGGAGGGCCACCGGGTGGGGGGGGCGTGGCCAGCCAGAACGTACTACTGATTCGGCGACCCATGGCAAATTCTTGCTACGGGTTCACCCGATCCGGTGCGAACCGGCTGAATACCACCCCTGGTAAGGGCATATTGAGTTGCAGCTAAATCCACCCAACTTCAAGTCCATTTAAGAGTTTCAAGCATCCATCGGTCATAATTAGTATGTCTTTACAATGTTATATTTTAGCTGGAACCAACCCAAACTTTTTAAAAAGGCAATAATATAATCTGAAGGAGTTTATTGATCATCTACAGCTAATGAGCCGAACAGGGAAGTCCTAGTTCAGATCGTAAAGGGTTGTAGGAAAATACAGAGGGGATTCCTTTTGTAAACTTACTCAACATAGCATAAGCATTATAAAAGGAAGCTGGCAGGCAGGGAAATGCTCTATCAGTAAACAACTGAATGAAAAGATTAGCAAAAAAAACTGCAGCTGAGATGCGACAGGGAAGGTCAAAGAGTATTAGGAAGGGAATGCCTGTCAGTATTAATAGAAACCTTCAGGATTCACAGCAAGCAAAGAAGCCAATCTAGACTAGCAGGATGTTGTACTGATCATAGTTCTGAGTTCATGTGCAGACTGCTATCTCATCACCTTCCTTAATATTCTCCACTTAAGGCTGCTGAATCTCATCAGCCTGAGGATAAAGCTAGCTCTTTTCTTTAATTTCGAGATAATTTCATGTAGTGGCAGCAGTAAATAGAACATTCTGGTGGAGTTTTTAGTTCCTCCTTATCTTTTATTCTTAGGTTTCACCAAAAAAAAAAAAAACACCTACATTTTATCCTCACTTGGATGATCTCTGGATGGATGCATGATGGAATTACATGACATGATAGTATGTCCTCACTTCTCTAGTAAAATCCAGGACATACATACTCTTTGTGGAACAAAGGCTACAAGTTTTGGGAATGAATAATTCCTGATTGCCTACCCTCCAGCAATGTCCTCAATAATAAGAATCTATAAGATCCTTATTTGTGGGTCAACAGATATATAGTTTAGTATACCCTATTTTTAAGAGCCAACTTCGCACATGTGTCCATTGATTCTGGAGGTCTGTTTAAAGATCATCTGAATAGGACAGCAAATATATGTTCAAGATCAGTTAGTGAACAGATTATAGATAATAGTAATATCTACAATTGAAAAGAGTAGTAATCTAATGTTCTTGCTTATTACAGCTATAAGATAAAACCTAACAAAGAAAAGCTAAATGTCAGAGGAAGATGCCTATAATAAGATAGGACATAAAGTTTTTATTTGCAGATGGTTCTCTAAAGTTCTAATTTATTATGAAATCCTTATTTTGAAGAGATTTATTTTTTAAAGTGAAATTTTTATTTCCCCACACTTTGATTCATTTTGATCCATTAATTTGGTTTAAGTCCCATTAATTTCAAAAGAACTGATTTCTGATCAGAAACATGTAAGGATTAATTACATTATTAAATCTTTGTATTAAAGGAATGATATGCATTAGAAGTGTTTCACTCTAAGCAGTAAATGCAAAAAGTGATTATTCACTACTCATTGGGGCCAGAAAGATCATTTTTTTTCTCCATTGGCTACACACAGTGAAGATATTAAAATCTTAGCTTTGTGCAATAAGGAGAGTTCCAGCATTGATTTACCAGGTATCCTGCCTTGCTTTCTTTTTCTGGCACTCAGCTGAACTTCCATGGTGAACTCACAGCCATTCACCTCTTCATCTTAACAGAAGAACAAATATAGAGGAATAAAAATGAGTTTTCTGGGGGAAAATGTGAAAAATCCTGAGTGATTGAAAAGGTTTAGGAATGAAGAATAAAGAGAAATTAGTCATAAGATTTGAGAGGGTGACAAATGATACAAATAAATAAGACCAAATATAAACTGGTTGGAATTAAGTGATAAACTTTTCATCAATTCACGTAAGTTACTGAGTCCTGTTTGATTAAGTCGATGGTTGGCAAAAGAAAGTATGGCATCTGACTTTTTAAAAATTTCATTCTCAACAAGTTTCATTGCAATACTGGCTATATTGATGTCTCTTGATTGTGTCAGAGACCCCTCTAGTGGACAATTACAGAATTAGAGAATTAAATTATAGACTATCAAAAGCAATTCTTTATTTTTATATATTTTTTTATTTGTCAATTGCTTACAAGATAATAGGTATAAGTAAAAACAGTTATGAATACATGGATACATATAAGATACATACATACATACATACATACATAAAAGAAACAATAGGACAGGGACTGTAGGCACATTGGTGTGCTTATGCAAGCCCCCTAATTCTGTAGGAACCTCACATCTAATTCTTTTCTAATCTGCTTTTCAAAATTCACAAATCTCTAAAGCAGGGGTGTCAAACTCGATTTCATTGAAGGCCACATCAGGATTGTATTTTACCTCGGAGGGTCAGAGTGGGCATGGCCAGAGTGGGTGTGGTCAGCTCGACATCACTCATGTCAGAGGTGCCTGTGGTGGCCCAAGCCTTCTGCCAGAGAAAATAGGCTCCTGAGCTCTGTTTTCGGCTGCAACGGCCTCCTGTAAGTAACCCTCTGCTGATGAAAACAGAGCTCAAGAGGGCCGTGTGCAGCCTACCCAAGTTCTGTTTTTGCTGGCAGAGGCACCACAGGCCAGTCTTTCACCGTTTCCAGGGTGGCCCTGCGGGCCAGATCTAATCACCCCGCAGGCCGGATCTGGCCCCTGGGCCTTGAGTTTGACACCTCTGCTCTAAAGCAAAACAAAATGAACAGCATTGCTTGTTTGGACAGTTTCCAAATTGCTGCAGCATGTTTCCCATGTATGTTTGTGTGTTATTTTAAAAAATTGAAATATTGACTTGATGGAACACTGTAAAACAAAAACATCCTATTCCTGTTTGTGTTTCCTGAATGCTTATAACTTTAAGGTGCTCTCTAGGATCACATAGAAACCACCTCTCCACCAGATTGTCATACGGCTGTTCGAAAGAGAAGCAGGATCTTTCTATCCTAGTTTATGTGGGGATATAATGGTTCTAAACCAAAGATAGTTTAGCTCAGGGGTCTTCAAACTTGACAGCTTTAAGA